GTGTGTGTGTGTGTGTGTGTGTGTGTGTGTGTGTGTGTGTGTGTGTGAAAAGAATGTACACAATGTTGCCCTCATCCTGATGGCCACCTTTGTGTGCGGCTGCATCAAACTGTGTGTAGACCCTCGGTGTACAAACATCAAGTGTCATTACATACTGAGGTTCTACCTGTCCCTGGTGTTGCAAAGGATGGGACTGGCCTCCCGGCTGTGGTGCACTCCAAGCAGTTGGACCATTCCATATCATCTGTACAGAAATTTGCAAATGAAAACACCTTTGACCACCAGTCTACCAGGAAGTGGTCAGCACATAGCATCCTAGAGATCCTGAGGAAAAAGGAAAGGGTTGGTCTTGTCACATGGTTCCCTGAGCAGACTGTCAAAGTGCCTCATCAGCAGAACTTCCCCACAAGCACCAAGACATGGCTTGGCTGGTGGTGAGAAGGGCACTATCTGTGAAACCCTTTATATAGGCCTGGTCAGCCTGCCCCACCGCACGCTGCCCTCAAAGTAGCTGCGGGGGAGAGGGGGTCTAGTGAGACAGTCTCACAGATCTCCTTCTACAAAGTATATTTGCAAAGGAAGTCTGGAGGAAGATGCAATGGTTTTTGTCGAGGTTCGTACTGAGCAGCTTCATGATGCAGGATTCTGTGCTATATGGTCTGTTGCCCAGGGCGCACACTGTGACAAACATCAACTACACCTGGACGTCCATCAACTTGGTGAAAGACACTCTTTGGTGTCCAAACCTTGTTGGTCTTCCAGAACAAGGAGATGACCCTTACTGAGTGTTGCAGACTGGCACATTCCAAGGCCCAGGACTACAGGCTGAGGGACGCACTAAAGCTTGGGGCAGCTACCGCCAAGGGGCAGTGGGGAAAAACCGCTGTCTGAGGCCTTCCTGCTGAAGGTAAATGGGGGCTGATTCAGTTATCGGACCCTCCCAGTGCCTCAAATATATGTAAGTATTAGTATTGTATGTGTAAAAGAGGTCTTTGGTTTTTTTGGATAGAGTCAAAGAGCAATGTTTTGTTTGTTTGCTTAATATGCAACTGTACAGAACTGAACTGCTTTTGTTACAATGTGTATATACAAAGAGATTTTTTATGAATAAATTTTATGTTTGAAATATAAAAAAGAAATTGCGTTTGTGCACTAGGAATCAAGCCCCACTACTCCAAGAGTTGTCACAAAAGCTAAAATTTTATCAAATACACAAAATCCCTAGTTTACCTGACTGATAGACATAGATCAGCAGAAAACACAGACCAGGCTTCTATACTTAAAATAAACTACGATTCAACTGTTGACACATAATTCTGTTAGTTAAAACTCTACTCTCCTTCTAAAACTCCCTGTACACACAGACAGAAGTAAAAAATGGTGTTGTGGATGGAGGGGAAAATGATACTGGGAAATGGTTCAATAGCACCAGTCCTCAGGGTTCAATGGAGGGTTCCATTTGTTTACCAAGTTTCTCATTTATTTAATCTTTTCCTTCAGGATAGTCTTTTCCCTAGAGTGGGGGGGCGGGGGGGGAAGGTGGTGTGGGGGTGGAATTCAAAAGTAGGGGCATATTTTTAAGGTGAGAGGGGAAATATTTAAAAGGGACCCAAGGAGCAACTTTTTCACACAGAGGGTGCTTCGTATGTGGAATGAACTGCCAGAGGAAGTGGTAGATGCAGGTACAATTACAACACTTAAAAGACATTTGGGCAGACACATGAATAGGGAAGGCCTAGAGAGATAAATGCAAGCAAATGGGACTAGTTTAGTTTGGGAAACTTGATCAGCACGGACGAGTTGGACTGAAGGGTCTGTTTCCATGCTGTATAACCCTATGACTCTAGGTTCTTCCACTTTTTCACAGGAGGTACAGAGTGACTGGTTCACAAATTATGAATTTCTGATGTATTTGTTAAAAACAATAGCTTACAGCAGAGATAGCAGGAACTGCCGATGCTGGAGAATCTGAGATAACAAGGTGTAGAGCTGGATGAACATAACAGGCCAAGCAGCATCAGAGGAGCAGGAAAGCTGACGTTTTGGGTCTAGACCCTTCTTC